GAAAAAATTAACAGAAAACATCCTGTATTACAGAATTTCAAATAATACTTTTTGCATCTGTAACGTTTCCTGAGGTAAATGAAAATACAGAAAATGGGACTTAGAAAGAGGTAACATGACAATCAGTGTGGAAAAAAGAATTGACACGATTAAAGAAATCAAACTGTCTTAATTAATTAATTAATCTGGAAGTCATTTCTTTTGTCTTTTGTACATGAATTGGACAACAGCTGAAGTCATGAACTGAATAATGACAATGCACTGATATCCCGGGTCCTTCAGTTCTTATTGAACCACAGAGTGTGAAAAAAAAAGTTTGGCAAGTTAAGCTTGAACTTGACAAAGCTCATTCTCAAATGATTAACCTTTATCCTTTTGGGTCTGACTATAAACCACATTCACAGAGGTGTAGCCCCCCCCCCCCCTCTCTATTCCATTTGCCAAACATTAATCTGCTCTGATTTCCAGGGTGTTGAAACCTGACATTTTAACACCCGGCCCATTCTGGAATTCACACAACGTCACAAAGTGCTCATGAGGTACAGTAGGAGCAGCGAGAATCAACAGAATTTACAGGAGATTCCACTTGTGTTTGTGACCACCTGTGGACTAATCTGCCATTTTGCTCTCTTTCCTCAGGCCTTTTTTTTTATAGTTTCAAGTGACATACTAATAAATGGCTCTATAGAGCAGTTGGAAGGTGTTTAATCAGCGTTTTTCTTTGAAAAATAGAAAAAATCAATTTGGATGCAATTTTTTTGTGTAAAACGGTATTGATTTGCTCGTGCTGCCAGTCACAGTGTAATTTGATCCTTGGCTCGATCTGGGATTCACAGCTACCTGGTGAAGTCGACACAGAGGCATTTACTCGTTAGGTTCAAGCACCAAAACAGAGACTTTAAGATAACAATTGTGACTGATGTTAATTACTCCCACCTCACAATCCCAGTTGGTACAAACTGCACACAAATACAATTTTGTTGTGTTTGAAAAATTCTTGATTATAAAAAAAAAAAGTCAAATCAAATATCTAAATTGTAAATTATAGAGTTTGAGTAAAAGAGTGCAGTAAAGGAAATTTGTGCCCTCACATTGAATATTGGCAGATCATTTTCATCTGTAACTGTGACCGGCTCCCATGGTCAGTGCATCCATTTGCCATTTTTATATTCTCTAGCGTAGTTCTTGATGGAAAAATTCAACTAAATTCATCATTGAAACTACGTGGCATAATGATTCTGGGCCAGAGAGCTCCAGAGCAGATACAGTTCAGGTTGTGTTAATTCCAGTCTGAAAACTGCTGTGCTCTGCTCTGCTCCAAATTGCACGGCGTCTTCCACCCGCTGAATAATTTGGGGTCACAGCACAATGAAACATTTCAATGACACGCAACGATTCCGAGACATCCCACATGTCACTGCACAGAAACCCGACAGAACGCGTCCGTGCTGCTGATCCTGGAAACAATTAATTGCAGCTCCAAGGTATTTTTTTTCCTTTTGCCTCCATCGATCAACAATTCCTCTGGCATTTAGCCCCCCCTCCCTCCTCCCACTGAGGGCCAAAGCCTGAATCCCACATGTCACCCTCTTCACGTAATGAAGAGACAGCGGGTGTCATGTCTGGACTTGGCCATCTGCTACTGACATGAGAGTTAGAGTATTAAATGGACTAACTGCTGGCTTTGCCGCCGAGGAGCACCGGCGTCTGAGCCCAATGATTACGCCGGCCCCAAACAAAAATGACATTTGTCTGACAATAAAATTGGATACTAACCTGTCTGAAAGCCGTCTCCATTTGCCTAGAACAAATGTTGGCGAGGGAAAACAGTTTGACACACTTTTCCCCTTGAATACAGAGAGAAGGCAAGCCATCCTTTGGCTCACGGTAATGGCCCCTCATTGTTGGCCACAGAGGATGTGGCGCTATTCATACCGGTGGGTGATTGAAAAGAAAATTGAATCTCTTTTGATGTGATAAATGTGTCTATTACTGCATTTGCACACAAAATGTCGGTGGAAATTATAGTGGGGAGGCAGGGCTCAGAGGGAAAAATACATAGGGATGGCATATTGGCTCGCTTTGATTGGAGCTGAAATATAAATATACTGTACTGGTAGTGAAATGAGTCCAAGCTCCCTGATTTTTCCACAGTAACTTCACAAATGAAAGGCCTTGAGAGCCCCAATTGTAAGACTATATAAAAAGGTTAAATGTCTGCATAGCACTGTCTCTCTTCTTCTCCACAACGAGCTGTCTGATAAAGGACACCAACAACTGTTTGCCTTGTAATGAAAGCGAATTTTCTCTTTAGAAAGACTCTTGAAAGACAGGGAGAGGCCCGGGGAAGAAAAGAGATGCTGTGCTTTGTGTTGCATGAAGTGTGGCACTGTGAAGGACAACTTCATTTGAAATTGTATCGACAGTTAGTGAAGTGGTTTTATGTACACATGCACAAAAATGTTCTCTTGGAAGTAGATACAAACACCTCTTCTTTTTTTTTTTTTGAAGGGGGGGTGCAGGTAAAATAACAGCTTTTGAATTAAAAAGCTTTTGTGTACGTGTGTCTGTGTGGACAATGGGAGCTATCTCTAAACACAATGACATCATTACTAATCGTCTGAGGATTTTTTTTTTCTTTAATTGAAGAATTTCAAGAAATAATGATACCCTTCTTCCAGGTAAATGTGCATTTTGGAACCAGTTGGTTACAGATGTCGGGAAGACAGGAGAGATGGGTAACATTCTTTTTTAAATGAGTTTGGTTTGTTGTAATAAAGATATGTTTGCAGGTTTGTCAGTAAATCTACAGTTCTGTCTGTGGCTGGAAGAAAAACACTTGTTTGAAACCTCACTTTTATTTGAGATAGATTTATTGTAAAGAAAACTTTTTTCTTTCTTTTAATGGGACCAGGTGCAACTTTAATCTGTTCTGCCAGTATCTCCTGTTGCTTTATTGCGCATCCCTGTCTATTTTTTTCATGTGCATCCTCGCTGAATGGACAAGTGAGGGGAAGCAAAAGAAACTCCAGCAACATTAACTCAGTTTTGTTACTCTTTCATTCTGTCTTCAGCACAACTGGTACTTTGTTGATCCTTTCATAAATGATTTATTTTTCAAGGCTCTTAGGCCCAGATGTTAATCTCTGTATTCTCCACCAGGACTCCGAAGGAATCAGAGGAAAGAGTAGGACCACGTAGTGAATAAAGACGTGTCTAACCTGTCAGAATCCTCTGTTCCAGTGGGCGATTGTGTGTGTCATCTCTTTCTTTTTAAGCAGCCCCATTCATCTGGAGAGCAACAAAAACACTGACTCCACTCCTCCATTCCACCGTCTGACCCCCACATTTTTAATCAAAACGCTCATCTCTCCCTCTCTATCCACATCTTTGATGAGGAGACTGGCTTTGATGGCAAGTGAATTTCATTTGCGTCTAAAAGCTTGCAAAGTATTCGGTTCAAGATGATCACCACGTTCTCGACTTCTAGGCAATTACTGTAATGATGCAAAATGGTAAACATTGGGCCAACATCTAAATAATTTAACAGGCTGAAAACACGCCGCTCCAATGTTTATGAAATCCGTTTTGTGTTTACAGAGTGATGATGCTGAAACGTTCCATGGCATTGAGCTAGCAGGAGAGGTAATGTTTGAATAAGCTAATTGCATGAGATTTAAATCGGTCCTCTGGATTACACAGTGACATGGGTCAGACAATAGTTCCACCCCTTTCTAAAGTCATCAGCGGGTGCTCACGAGCCAGAAAGGATGCGTCTGAAAGAAGGTTTAGAAGGCAAAAGTTCTCTTATGGAGCATGTTTGCGGAGTCTGCTCACTTTTCAGCTTGAGTAAACCTCGGTTATATAAACTCTAATCTGTGTCTGTCCATCCCTGTTTAAACTCTGTAGAAACAAATATACATAGAGGCTACTGAAAATGTTTATTCCAATAAATCTTGGGTGAGTTTGGAACTTATATGCCTCTATGAGACAAAAAAAAAGAAAAAAGATGACTTAAAGTCAACTTAATGGATCCCATTTTACCAGTTCCCATCACAGTATGGGAATGGTTTAGGCTTTGTCTGCCCATGAAACCCAATGTCAATTTTCCTGAGTTTTCTGTGTGGGCTGTGCATCCCTCTCTGAAAGGAAGGCTCTCCAATTTACTTATGTGAGAGCGAGGAAATAAGCTTTGCACAGACGAGAAAATTTGTGCTCTTTACACTGAAGGACAAGCAAGTTGACATTTGAAATAAAACATGAAATTGATACACATAATGACACTGGCTTCATGAGTAAATATGAAATTTCCACCACAAAGGACGCGAAGAAGGGAGGGGGGGCGCTTACCGCCAAAGTGATGTTTTCCCTGTGCTCAGTAGTAACATGAAATCGTGCAATTGCACATCAGCATGTGCTTAAAACGGACCACGTTTGGCTCAATTTGCTGCTAGCTGAACAAACAAAACATTTATATGAAAGATGATTTCTTTTTTTTTTTTTTATCAGAGTAGTAATTTCATGTATGTTTTTTTTTCTCTTGCTGTATTATATTTGCAGCTCACAGATGGCCTGTAAACTTCAGTCCTCATTTAAATTATTACAAAACTTCTGTTTGCAGTCGTGATCAATGTGCGCTCCTACAGAAAAACTGTGCTTGTTGACTCCCCATTCAACTCAACACGTGCCGGGCGCCCGGCTCCAGCCTGCACTGGTTAATGTGTAAACTGTAGCAGAGGGGATAAAGATGCCCACAGGAACATTGTCCCCTGATGAGCAACCTGGGCAGAGTAAATGGACGATTGAATGGACTCGTAAATGCAACTGGTTGTGTTGGAATTGTGGTGACAAATTAGAGGTTAGGGACCCCAGCTCACAAGCTTTAACTTAAAAGAGATTTAATAAGCTGTTATGTTGATTTCATCCAGACTAGATTTTACATAAGTGTGTTGAGGTGTCGTGTTTTAGACTCACACAGATTCAGAACTTTTTGGGGTTTTTTTTGTTGCTCGATTCAAAATGGGTGATCAACATTCGTGTACTGGAGATAAACTTCTTCACCTGGACATCCACATAGATGAGAAGCAGCCGCGTAAAGGAATCCTCACCCTACTGAGCAGACTCCGTCCTCACTGGAAGGGCCAGGATGTCCAGATGAAGGTATCTCGCACCTCAATTTTAGGGAATACAGGACGGCTTGTCAAATAGATACAGAAGAATATTTACCTTTGTTTGGTGGTAGGTTGGTTGTTTAAACTGTGTTCAAATGAATTTACAGCAACTTGAGTCAAGGTTTAGGTTTCAGATTATGGAATTCAAACTGAAAGAGAAATTTGAAAAAATCTCAAAAGCAGCAGCAAACAGTTCACTATGGGGTATAAATGGGTATGGATATGGTTTCCTGTACATTTTGTGGTGATCAGCAGTTCTATTAATCCTTTTATCGAAATCCTATTTGCTGGTGTTTTGAAAGGTTATTCTGATCAGATTCACAAGATTAATCTTGGCAGACTCACAAAAGGCAGGAAAGTGGACCCTATCAGGACCAGAACCAGCACGGATGACCGGAGCAACATCTGCAAAGCTGCAGAGACTTTTGTTGTTGTGAAATCAGAAAAGAATTAGAGCCAAAATCCTACATTTCAAAGGTTGAGTCGATTATCTAAAATGCAAATGAAAGTGCTGAAATTGGTGCAAAAACAAACACCTGCTTACCCCCACTAGGCCACAGCAGTGTCTGGACCATAAAAACTGCTGCATTTACACTCTTTTATTCAAGCTGTAAAGAGGGACATGTGCTTTGGTAACAGCATTCGCACTGGAATCATATTCAGAATCCCCTTTTTACCGATCATGCCTTTTTGGGAATATTATAGAAAGCCAGAACACCCTAAAAAGGCCAAAACTGACACAGTGAGAACATACAAACTCCAGATAGAAATCCTCTTGTGTTTTTGCTGCACATATGCTAGACATTTTCCTTATAAAACTTGAAGAAAAGCCAAGGTAACTGAACAACAAAAGGAGGATTTTGAAAGACCTCTTTTTTGTGGTGAACCTAAAGAAGCCATTCAGACCCGGATAATCCCATTCTGGTCCCATGTGCAAATACAAGGTCCAATCTGTCAGAGAAATAGGGTTTATATTTGTTAGGTGACCGTGCATTGGAATGGCTGACCTCTCAATCTACACTGGATCCAGTAAAGTACACAAAGAAGTAGATGTTTCCCTTCAGCTCTCGGACCCCAGTAGTCATTTTAATGATGTATTGTATTCTTTAGAAGAAGGTCACACAGTTCTTCCTGCTACACCTGTGCTTTTACCTGGGCTGTTGTGCTCAAACCGGTTTTTTCCAGATTCATTTTCTGTCTGATTCATCATCCTTCTCATCTCAAATGAAAAAATGAAAAGAAGTCAAAGAAATGCAGGGATCCCTTTGTTTTTAGCCATTTCCATCTCTTACACTTTAACCCCCATTATCCTGCCAAAGCAATTAGTAGAGCACATTTTTCTCTGATTATACTTTGTCACAGGATGTACTAAAGGGAGTGCCTTCACCTAACCTATCTTAAAAATTACGTTTTGGGATTGATGCCTAGATTAAGCACGAGTTGTGACATTTCTTTTTGAAAATGTCACACTTTTACCATAAAGTGTCTTTCCAACTATCTGTGGAAAAAAGATATTGACCATAGACACAAATTTAGAGACAGACCAGAAGTTAATATATATGTTTCAGAGATGTCTTTAGTAGATTAAAAAACATTTGAATAGTGGATCATAGATTGATCTTATTCATATAAACTGTAAGAGATAAAAGATCTAAGAAAAAGAGTGGGAATTTAATTACATCCTCAAACCCAGCCTTCCATCCTCTCTATCAATAGTTGATCGGATGTCAAGGTAGCCATGTTTGTTCGCTGCCCGACTGAATGAGAGGCTGTGCTGTGTGCAGGAGCCATCTGAGGCCCGGGGAAAGCCCTGGGGACTGTGGCACAGAATGAGAAACCACTGAATGACAACAGATGTCAAAGGGAGCCCATGTAGGCAAACAGTGGTCAGTGCGGTATTTTGTGTACACAAACAGAGAAGCACAGTGTGTTCTACCAGTGCACAGTTGCATGTGCAGTTGAATGTACACCTGTCCATTTTGGTCCGTTTGACTGTACATCTGTAACATTTTGCCACAACATATATTTGGATTGAGAAAAGTTTAGATTCCTCATATAATTACCGTAGAGAACAAAAGTATTTAGGTCTTTCCATATTAGCCAAACTCTAACTCTATAATTATATACTGTATATATATACTTCACCCCTAATATTACAGTAGCAATAATATTTATAATATTAGGGCTTTAGAAGCAGATGGGGGCATTGTTTTGATAAGCTTCTGCAATGTCAAGATTTATTTTTTAACCAGTGTTCACTCATTCAGTTTTTCTCTAATATCTCAAAGCCTTCTCCAGCACACTGTAAATGCAACGTTGCTTTATGAAAATTCCAAATCTCTAACTTTAATATTGAGTTCCTCCTGGGCTGAAGCCCCAGCCTCTGCAGCTCAGACCAAACGCCACACAGAGCTGTTTAATCAACGCTGGATGCTGAAATATGTCCTGCTGTTAGTTCTTTTGTAAAGCTGGTCCTGACTTTGATTTTAATTGAAAATCCAGTCTATCAATTTTGACATCTATGTTAGAGTCATAATAGAATTATCCAGTTGAAGGTTTAGAGTTAGTAAAATTCTCAGTTTACAGAAAAAAGGTCATTTTTCTTTGTTACTGCAATCATAATGTTAATAATTAATCCCTGTTAATATTTGAGCTGTCCTTACTAAAGACAGTTAAATAACCCACTCTAACTCTAACATTCCTGAGAAATTCAGTTTTTATAATCTGTGAAAATTACGTTTATTTTTCGGTTTAGAATTGGGAAGCGATATTCTTAATAGTTCCAGAAACTTAAACAAATAATTAGGATAATCAATTCATATAAATATATCAATAAGAATCATAAATGATACGCAAATCTTGTCAGTTAGAGGACTCTAAAGCAGTCTGAAACCTAAATAAGGAAAACTGTTTTGTTGGATTAGTCTCAGATTCTGGTCTTAAAGTCTGCAGATAATTGAATTCCAACAGCACTTTTAAACCTGTTTGGTTTAAACAAGCTGTCATTTCAAAATGTAATGTATCTCTGGTATCCAAAATGTTATAACGATGATATAAAAATACAGTAATGATTTGTGATGTTAGTAACATATCCTGATATAATCTATATAAAAGAGAGTTTCAGTTCTAGGATAATCGAATGTATTCTGTTTTTTTCTCTTCCAGACATTTACAGAGGGAATCACTAACCAGCTGATTGGTTGCTTCGTGGATTCTCTTCAGGAGTCTGGCTGCGTTCTGGTGCGGCTGTACGGCAGGATGACAGAACTCTACGTGAACCGGGACCGTGAGGTGGAAATGTTCCAGGTCTTCCATGCCCATGGCTGCGGTCCCGAGATCTACTGCAGCTTCCAGAACGGCATCTGCTACCAGTTTGTCCGGGGAGCGGTGCTGGAGGACCAGCTGCTGAGGCAGCCGTCCATCTACAGGTCTCTGCCCGGACCCCTGTCCACCTCTCCCCCTGTCCACCTCTCCCCCTGTCCACCTCTCCCCCTGTCCACCTCTCCCCCTGTCCACCTCTGCACCAGGCCACCTCTCCCCCTGTCCACCTCTCCCCCTGTCCACCTCTGCACCAGGCCTTTCCCATTTGTGTTTGAGCTGAAACAACACGCTCAGAGTCTCAAAGCAATTTCTTAAGAAATGATTAGGATTAGTCATTTATTGAGGGCAGATGCTTTTATTTTCAGCTACGCATTCAAGATTCACTTCAGGAAAGTGGCCCAGTTATGTGTCCAACTGATGACATCAGAGTGTTTCGCTGTTCTAGGGATTATATCACGATCCATTGTTTTTAGTGTATTTAAACAAGAGTTTAAACAAACTGCATGATACAAATCTTGTTTCTTTTCTACATTTTTACACAGTATATTCAAGAATTTCACAGTAAGATACAAACAGTACATCTGGATAATCTGTTTTAAGAACAATAAATTAGTTTTCTTACTTAATTTTGAAAAAATGGTGAAAAAAAAAAATATATATATATATGTTTGTGTGCGTGTAATGTGTATGTGTTCGTGTGTGTGTGTGTGTGTGTGTGTGTGTTTGTGTGTGTGTAGGTCACGGACACATGCATTATCAGAACATTTAATTTCTTTTATGCTGATGCAGGTATTCCCTTCAATTCTGTTGAGTCACTTTTCACGTTGAGCTATGTTGTTTATTCGTACCCCCTGTTTCATTCATCATCCCCATGATAACAGGCCGGCATCATTATTCACGCCACAGGGCTGGAGGACACGGCACAGCCAGCCAAGGCTAAACAGGCCAGGCCACAATAGACATCCATCACCTGCAGAGCCTGATGGGGCTACCTACACAACTTTATGTCTGACATGCCCAAGAATGGAGATTCAGATGGTCTAAAGGTCGCACAGGCAACAAGGCCCGCTTTGAAAAAATAAAAAGGGACAGATAAGAGCGCTAAATGGAAAGGGAGTTGTGTTTCTGCTCTGATAATGTTTGTTTGTGCAATAACAGCGTTGGCCCGGCTCATCTGAGAAAAAACGCTTCCACCCTGCAGATTGATCGCCGCTGAGCTGGGGAGAATCCACTCCATCCAGCCAACGAGCGGCCGGCCCGCTGAACCCCTGCTCTGGACCAAAATGTCCCATTTTCTCACGCTGGTGCGGAGCAGCACGGGCCCCCGCCCCGCCGCGCAGCCGCGCACACAGAGGTATGAGAGAATTAGGCTCTGAACACAACACGTTCATTCATATTTATGACGGAACTCATATGGAACAAGTGAGCAATCTTTAAGTTTCCCACAAGCACCTTTGAAGTAACTCTGCTGAGCTTTGTTGGTGACCGGGCTCAGACACAGAATGATGGAGGCTTTTAAAGCTGGAATGAAACCGCCAAACCAAACACACAAAGGTAATGGTGAGTGTCCCTAGAGTGCCTTCAGGGACAACCTGAGAGGCACGCTCAGAAACCAAAGAGATAGGCAGGCTATTCAGGCGGAGAGATGGAGGTCTGAATGACAAAATACAAAAGTTACCCAGAAATATTTCTGTGAATGAATGGCTCTCTTGAACATCGAACCGGCTGTAGATCTGTTCAGAGTGAGACGCCTTGTGTTTGCCCTTCTAACAGCGGTGGAATCCAGACTGGAGGAGACAGAAAGCAGGCAGACACCTGTCAGACAGCGTTTCTGCTCATGTCGTGTCAGTGTGTGGGAATCATTCTGATGCCTTCCGTCTCCCCGTGTGCGCATTTGTTTTATTTCCACTCGGCTTGTTTTTCATTTGTTTCCATTTGGAGCATTACCTTTTCACCTCAGTCTTTCTGTGCACAGCGGTGCGGTGGCACCATCAGCTCACAGCGGGGGGGGGGGGGGGGGGGTCTGAGTGGACTGAGCAGGCTCTCCTCATGCATGCATGGCCCCCCAGCTCTGTCCCACCTTAAGCATGTGGGGGCCACTGACTTGGTGGTGGGTGTTTGTTTGTCTCTGTGTGATCGAGACCTGCCACAGTAGAGAGGCTCTGGCCTTGAGTAGAAAAAGCTTTTTTTTTAAACGGGTTTCTGTCCTCTTTCCATTTGTATATACAAGTCCCTTTTTCATTGTTAGGCTATATTTCAGAGAAAGGAATAGTGTTTGGGCTCCTAATCCTGTGCCCCGTTGGCATGTTCAGGAATCTTTACAGGATCTGCCTGCATGTGGAAACCATGTTAGAGTGTCAGGGTCTGACAGAAAAAGTGTGAGGAGAGTATCTACCGTTGCCCAGGGCATCAAAGGAGGAAGGGAAATCCAATCCAGATGCGAAACTACTTCCCCCAAGTCCTGTCCAGTGTGGATGAGATTGTAAAAATAAAAAGGGAGCATGTCAAGGATTTTGGTTAAATCTTTTCTTTCTTTTTTAAGATTTAAACCTCTAGTTGAATATTAGAACGGGGAGTTGGCAGGTGTAGCAAATAGCATCTGAGGGTTAGTGAATAGTCAGTTGGATGTAAAACGGGTTGGAATCAATGCGCAACAAAAGCTTATCTGGTTATCTGCCGTACTGAAAACACCACGTCTTAAACAAATACCTGCGGAGGTGAGGGGCTGCCTCAGTGGTCGATTTCTGCTGCCGTCTCTCTGATAGAAACCAGCCACATTTTCCACATTTTTATCTCTCGGGCCGCAGCACTTCCACTGATATCTTATCATTTTCTCACATTTTTCAAACTCTCCGAGAATTCTCCCATCCACCCGTCGCTGGCCTTTTAAGAAAACACTTCCTCCGTTATGGCTTCACATGCGAGCTGTCGCTGGTCGGGGGGGCGAGGCGGGGGAGGGGCCTCCGTGGCAATGACATTGCATTATCTCTGACAGGGGTCAGGGGGTGAGAGTTGAGAGGGGCCCTTCAGACACTACAAAGAAACAGACGCTTGGCCACGAGCTTCCTGCAGAGTTTTCCCTTATCGGTCAAACGGTCAGACCTGTTTGTGTTCGCTGCGGAGGGGTCGGAAGTCCACACAAACTGGACTGGGAAGAGCTTGGATCCCTGAGTTCCGTTTTCTGCTGAAGCTCTGGATCGGATCTTGCAGGATTCAGAGACGTCCATTCAGCCCTGCAGATATTTCAGGAAAAGATCAGTGATGTTCAGGGAAGTGGGTCATAAATAAGAAAACTCAAAACAGTCCAACAACAGAAAATAAGATCACTTTAGTAGGAAATCAGCTTTAGATACCAGCAATTTTTTCTCATAATCATTTCATTTTTCCATTTCAACTCCCAGTTTTATTTTTAAAACATCAATCAAGTTCATTCTCACTCACATTCTTCTTTGTGGGCTTTTAAAAAAAACATTATTTTTTCCTTTTAAAAAAGTTAAACAAACAAATTGGTGTAAATTATAAATGGAAACGTAATGTGCCACCTCAGGGAATGGGGAGTCCTCCCGAATTATAGTAAGCTGTGGATGAAAAACTGGATGGATGGATGGATGGATGGATGGATGGATGGATGGATGGATG